GGCGGTCATGTGGTGGGTAATTTTTTTCCTCATGAAGCATTTGCCATTGGTGGAACAAACAGTGTGAGAGGATATGAAGAAGGGGCTGTGAGCTCTGGTAGATCATATGTAATTGGCTCTGGTGAAATTTCTTTCCCTGTGGTAGGTGATTGCGGGCAACTTTTCTGTTTTGGTCTCTGAACATTGCGCCGCTGGCAGTTTTGTACATGCGTTTATTTTTAAATGTAATGAGTTCTGCTTTGATGACTTCTGTGCATGCTTGACACCAAATGCCAACATAATCCAAATGTTAAGGGGAAGCTTACTATTTTGTCCTTTGCTTTTCTTTCTTTTGCAGTTGGGACCAGTGGAAGGAGATAGTATTATAGAAAATAAATTGAAAAAATATTTAGTTATGTTGTGGAAAATGAACTAGAAAATAATTTATTAATATTTTATTTTTTTCAAGTTTATTAAAATAATAAAGAATAAATCTTACAAATTAAAAAGAAGTTTATTAAAATAATAAAGAATAAATCTTATAAATTAAAAAATTATCTTAAATAAAATAAATAATAATTAAAATAATAAATATCAAATATAAAAAAAAGATGAAGAAATTAAAATTATTATATTTCATATAAAATAAGTAATAATTAAAAGAATGGGGATCAACAATCAATTCTATTGCTTACTTATAGAGGCCTGTTTCGGTATTTTTTAAGCTGAATTATTATTTGATATTTGATAATAGAACTAAAATTAATATAAAAATTAAATTTTAATAAATGAAATTGAAAAATAAATATTCAAAATAAAATATATATAGTAATTAAAAGTTTGAGGATCAAATTTGATATAATTAGAAAATAATAATAGTTTTAAATTTTTCATAACTTTCAAAAAGTGTTTTCTATTCAAATTTTATAGGGAAACACTTTCTTGAAAACCAAATTAAATTTTCTTTTGACTGAAAAGTATTTTTTGTTGATCAACTTTCCTAACAATAAATAAATATAAGAAAGTTTGGAAAGTGATTTTTTAGAAATTACTTTTTGAAAAATAAATACAGCAAAAAAGAAAAATACTTTTTTGAAAACCAAGTCAATTTTTTTTGACTGAAAAATATTTTTCATTGACCAGAAAGTGTTTTCTGTTAACTGGAAAATATTTTTTATTGATTGAAAAGTATTTTTAGTTGATCAATTTTTTTAATAATAAATAAACATAAAAAATAATTTATTAAAAATTACTTTCTAAAAACAAATACGACTAAACCTATCTATTATCGTATTCATCATTGGCTTTGAAACTCATGGGCATGCTGAGTTTGTTTACCCGGTAGCTTTTTTCAGTGAAGCAAGCTCGAGTCCAAGCGATCCTAATTTACTTCGTGGCCACGAAACAGAAGAGGACTCCTACTATATGGTCGTCGTATGCACTATTGTTTTGTCTGTGCATTGATTATGGGTGGTCCCTTTCAAATCAAATCGACAATGGGGTGTGGTTTACATTGAATATGATCATCTCCTCATGCTTTATCGTCTTTTGCATTCAATGTTTTGTCTTAGCGTGTCCAAACCATAAGGAAAACTTGCAATTTGTCATGGAAGGAAACCTTCGTTTGTCTGCGGTTGGGGCCGTTTCATGTCATAGATAAGCCACCTAAAGTGGCTTAGTAATTTTAATGATCACAGTTTCCATTGATATTGTGTAGTCCTTATTATTAAAAAAAGAAGAAGGAATTATAAGGTTATAAAGATTAACAATATTATTCAAAAATAATTAAGATAAAATTGATTGATATAAAAGATTAAAAAAATATAGATGAATTAGTATATATATATATATATATTAGGTGATGTTTGGTCCAACAAGTCAAGTCAGTATGCTTGATCCATTTGGAAGGGCATGCTTGTGGGTTTGTAAGACCAAGCTTGTACGCCAATCTTAATTTTTTAATTATTAATAGGATGAATAACTCTTTACATGTTTTAAATTTTATTAAAAAAATAAAATTAAATAACGTGTCATTTGCTTTTCCTTATATTTTGGCTATTGTTATGACCGAAAAATCATGATTGTTGGTTTTTTTATGTAAAAACCTATTTGTTAATCTATTTTTTATCCAAAACATCTAGACATCTTGATAAATTCATAAATGATCTTAAAATATCACACAAAAATTCAAAATTAAAAATCTTCCTAACCTTAAATATGTTTTTTAGACAATTTAAAGGTGAAAAAAAACATTTAAGTGGAACTCCTCTTACTAAATAAAATTTGTTGGCATCAAGATCAATTATCTTAGTAATTGAGATCAACATCAATGCTAATGTTCTCTTTCTATCACTGGATTCAACGACTCTCTCCTTCCTCTTTTAATCTAGGAACTTGAAAACAAGGAAAATAAAGTTTTAGATTAAAATTGATTTTGTTTTAAAATTTTAGAAACTAGAGGGACATAATATTTATAATTTGAAAAATATAAGGACTACAATGAACATTTCACCTGAAGTCTAAAAAAGCCACTCATTTCCTCTTCTTTTTTTTTTTTTTTACTTTGGTCCCTTTTATTGGAATATTACCCATTCCTGACAAATTAACCTAAATTGACCTATAATTTAGTTATCTAAGAGTGAAATAAAAAAAAAAAAAGAAATCCACATTGTTTTGTGATGCAATCCATAATGCAATTTGCATAATGAATCTACTATGCTTTTGTACTACTAGTGTCTAGGGTCTATGTTAGAGCTCGTGCTCGAGATAAACATGATTTAAGTTCAAATTCATTTTGCTTAAGCGTATTTATTACTCTTCAATTTTTTACTATATAAACTATAAAAAGATATTGTGTTATATATATATATAGAGAGAGAGAGTCTTGAGTTTCACAAAAACATGCTAACTAAGGATTATTTGACATTAATCTTATATTTATCTACAATTTATTTTAATCATATTAATTTATTTTAATTATATTAATGTTTTATGTTAAAAAACTCTTATTAAAGAATAATTTCTAATAAAATTTTAACCCAAAAAATGAACGAACCTCACTTTTAATTTAACCTCAAACATGTTTATTATCCATGTTTTTAAAACAAATTTCCATCATTTAAATCATCATCGTCTCTCATATTCCCAAAAATAAAAATAAAAAAATAAAGCAAATAAAATGTGACGATTACAAAGATTGATCCCTTTACTACTAGTTTTCCATTTCTTTTTTAAATTAGCATTGTTTTAATCTTTTTTGGAAAAATAAAACAATTAAAAAAATCAATTAGTGAAATAGTATAAATTAATACTTGCCATGATTAAAAAACACAACGTTTCAAAGAAACTGGTAAATGAATAGCACTAGGTGACTAATTTTTATCACATTTCCTAATCGCAATATGTATTAAACTATGTCATTTCATTAATTTTTTTTAAATCATGTTATTTTACCAACTTTAAAAAATTAGCAAAAATACTCCAGTATTCCACATTTATTTAATTCCTACCTTCTTTAAGTATAAAAAACAAATTTGAAAAACATTGTATACGGGATCCCGACTAATTCAAGCAGAAGAATGCAGACGCCAATGCAAGAGACATCACAAAGAAATAAATGTAGCTTGTTAAGATTGTACTTGGAAAAATAATTGAAGAAGCAAGCACAGGTAGATAGGTGAGACATAATGAGCTATAACACAATTATATTAGGCAACAAATTTAGATTTATTAATTTTGGTTGTTGGTTTTAAAGTATAAATATAATAGAAATTAATTTGATTAGTGTATAGCTATATATGAGATTTGCTTTCTAGTAGGAATTTTATTTTTTGGGATGGGGAAATCCAAGCAAATTAAGCACCGTCATGGTCAATGTCTTGAAATTATGCTGCACAAGAAAATGTAAACGGGATTATTATAAAATAGACAAAGTTTTGCTAGTGTTGAGGAAACAGATGCAGATGCTTGAAAACGCCATTACAAGACAAGACATGAATTTTCAAAGAACTCACAGTATATCCCCTCGTGTTGTAATGGAAACATGGAGGGATTGGTGCACACATTCTGGTCAGAGAAAGGAGGCTCTTTGTAAATTAATTATCTTATGATTCATATGAGCCATAGCTATAGGTCAAATGGAGACCTGTGGTTTGATCGTTGTAGCCCGCAGCATTTGCTGCAGAAGGACCTTAACCGCAAGGCAAGGTTTCTTAAACCATTCTGAGCTAGCATGTCTCTGTATATTTAGCTAGAGCGAGTCAGAAAAAAGAGATCATAGAGAGAGATGCCGTTGTTGTAAGATCTTAAACAGTGAACAGTAAGGTTAGTTGGGACAATTTCTCAGCAGGTACTGAGCCACATGGGCGTGCCCACCAAAGCAAGTGCCGGACTGGTATCAAACTGAATGCTTCCCCAGGATCAGAGAAGAAATCAGAAAGGCAAGAAGATGAAGTCAAAAAATGCCGTACTATACATCCAAGCACATATACATGTACTAGCTATAGGGTTGGGATGACGTAGAAAGACAAGCTTCAAACCCTCATCACTAGCTTGCTTTTTGACATCAACATTTTTTATTTATTTATCTTTATCATGAGTTGAATGTTGAATTTTGTTTTAATAATAATATTAGAGATTTAAAATTGTTTGGCAACGCGATGCAATTACTAAACAATTTATATTTCAAATAAAAAACATAAAAAACAATATTTTAAATGCGAAATACACGAGTTGCACTAAGATTATCTAGTATTAACATATATTAGTACGCCTCTCTTCTCTTCTTCCACTTTCTCTCTTTGCCTTGGCATATTTCTCTATTGATTATTTACACTATATTAGTACTCCTCTCTTCTCTTCTTCCACTTTCTCTCTTTGCCTTGGCATGTTTCTCTATTAATTATTTACACCTCACAAATGATATCTTGCCTCTCCTTTTGTAGTCAACTGGGCTTCCTTTATATATCAACCTTAACCTTGTTCATTTTTCCTTCAACCCGTCCCTCGTACACTTCTTTCAATTTGGTGGTCTTGTTCAGGCTCCACCTTGTCAAAACTTTTAGCCATCTTTAGTTTTTTCGCTATCTCTTTCTTTCTTTCTTTCTTCAATAACCTATCTATATACTCAAGTAACTGCTCTCTCCTCCCACTTTCAATCATGGCTGATCCATATTCCAATTACTTCAATGGATGGTACAATTTCAACCACCTCCACCATTTATCTGCCTCAGCACCTTCTTCCATTTCATCACTATATGCATCCCATGGATGCAATATGTACTCAGATAATAATATTATCTATGACAAGTCCTTTATTCAGAGTCATTCCTCGTCACCTCCTTCTCCTCCTCTCAGAGAAGTTCTTCCACTTCTTAGTTTAAGTCCAACAAGGCATCACGAAGATCAACGGGAGTACTCCTCGTGTAGTGCCATGGAAGTGGACAAGAACAAGGACAGAGAAGAAAGCCTATATGATGATAAAACTGTGACTGTGGCGCTACATTTAGGGCTACCTAGACTTGATTCTGCTGATTTGGTGTCTTCCACAGAGATCTCATCAGACAACGAAGAAGTAAGTGCTGTTGCTTCTGGCTATCAAACATGCAGTCGTACTCTTAACAAGGGTCAGTATTGGATTCCTACCCCTTCTCAGATTCTGATTGGTCCTACACAGTTTTCATGCCCACTTTGCTTCAAGACCTTCAACCGATACAACAACATGCAGGTATCTCTTATCAAACTAACCCATGATAATTTCAAAAAGCTTACCTTTCACTCCTCGATCTCCCATCACTTTCTATGTTTCTCCTTTTGATTTTGTAGAAAAAGAGAAAATTCAATTCTTATCCTTTGATTCAACAACTCACTTTTATTCTAATTTAGACTCTCTTGAGAAGAGAAGAGTAAAAATGGGACCTTACTAGGGTTTTCCCTTTTCTTTTCTCTACTTTAACACACATCTTTCCCCCTCTCTTGTTCCCCTCTTTCTTTCTCTCCTTTTTTCATGATTTTTTGCTCTGGGATTTATAAAATAAGAATAAATCAACCTGGTCTAACTAAGAATAAGATCAGTAGCTCTCTTTATGTGATTGAACTACTAAGGCATTATGCTTTTTGTTCATTGGAGTATGTGTTTCACACATTGTCAGGAGTGTAAAACCTGAAATTACAAGGGTCAATGATTCAAACTTTATTTATACATAAAATTATCTCATCTTCTGATAACATATTATGGTGCAATAAAAAAATTTAGATAGTTTTTTTGTTGTTTGTTGTGGTAGATTAATTTTTTTTTCTAAATCTTTTTTTTTTCATATCCTTGTATTTCGCTTTGACTATTAATATATTCTCGATATATATATATATATATATATATATATATAAACAAGGGTCTTATGAATATTCATCAAACCCTGATCAGCAAACTAGTGTTTGCACATGAAAAGCCTAAGCAGTGTACCTTGCCTAGTCTGTTAGCATTACAGCTCAAGTAAAAAATGCCTTTGTCTGGGTTTTTTTCCTTCTAATCTTGACTATTGAAAGTATAAGCCCATATTAGGTTATGATCATAATCAAACTTTCAGGTTAGAAAACCTATGTTTATATATAATGATAATTATAGAGTGTTATTTCGATGAATATTAGTTCTTAAAATAAAGATAGTTGGGGCATATAAGATATGCCCTTCTGATCTTTTTATTTTGAAATGATATTAATTCACTCTAAAATTACTTTTGTTTTTCTCTTGCATCGTCTATCCTGAAACGCTAAGGAAGCGCAACTCCAGTATGTAACTTTTTCTTTGAGTCAGCGCAGATATATCTACAGCAAGCTTGTAGCATCTTTCCTAGTTTATTTAGATTTGGATTCTCCTTTCTATCTGTCTTTACTTTAAGATATGGTCAAGCTGGCAACTATGTGTTAAGATAGGTTTGTTATTTTTAAATATATTGGTTTTTCTTGTTTGGTGGTTTTTCATATGTGAGCATGGCTTGAATGTGTAGATGCATATGTGGGGGCACGGATCTCAGTATAGGAAAGGGCCAGATTCTCTAAGAGGTACGCAGCCAACAGCAATGCTTAGGCTCCCTTGCTACTGCTGTGCAACAGGATGCATAAACAACATTGATCATCCAAGAGCGAAGCCTCTCAGAGATTTTAGAACCCTTCAAACTCATTACAAGAGAAAGCATGGAATCAAGCCTTTCATGTGCAGAAAATGTGGCAAGGCATTTGCCGTGAAAGGTGATTGGAGAACCCACGAGAAGAATTGTGGCAAGCTTTGGTATTGTACTTGTGGATCCGATTTCAAGCACAAAAGATCCCTCAATGATCACATTAAGTCATTTGGATATGGCCATTCGGCAAATGACATTGATTTCTTTGAAGAAGATGTTGAATATATTAGAAAATAATATAAAATATATTTTAAGATTTCATTTAATATCTTAGGTTGTGATATTTTTTTTTAAATAGTAATATAATTTTATAACTAAACAATCATGAATTTAAATTTTATTATTTTTATTTATTTAATAAAAATTAAATATAAAATAATATATAAATTTCAAACTCATTGTCCAAACAAATCCAACCACTCTTGAACTTCATCAATCGAATTCTCAACCGTCTTTTATAACCTTTAGCTTTTACTCCCCACCCTGTAAGATGATGGTCCTTGAAAAAGATTCTGCACTGCCAAACACTTCAATGTTCAGATCACAATGACATTCTCTCCCTACTAAAGCTAAAAATCTCACTTGACTTGCTTAACCTTTTGATTTTATAGAGCAAATTCTTATTAAATAAAATAAAATTTTAAGATATGATTTATATTATTTTTTAATATAGTATTAAAATCTTGATGATCAAACGGTTACGAGTTTAAATATTATCATTTTTATTTATTTGATAAAAATTAATTACAAAATAATATGGGTCTGTGCAAGTTTTAAGCCTAAAAGGTTTTCACTTGAGGAAATGTTTTAAAAATATAATATATATCATATTTTAAAATCTCATCTAACATTTTAAGCTATTGGATTGAGATAATTTTTTAACAGAACCAACTTTGAAATTGAATAAGATAATAAATTCATTCAGTGAAATTAATATATGTTTGAAATTGTAATTTTTAATTGATACATCTTGTGTTTTACACAAAATCATGGATCTGTAGAGGAAGAATCCTATCGAGGATTAGAGTTACTCGCTCTTTTATTTATGTTTTCTTTCACCCACTTTAGTAGCTGTTTAGTTTAGAAGAATCCTCGTTGAAAAATGTTAATCCAAGTTTCTAGAACTTCATTTTGTGTCATCTATGTGTGTGTGATGTAAGGAAATCTGATTGTCTGAAATTGCTTTTGTTATAGGTTGTTCTCAATGTATGTGCAGAAACTTAAAATCCTATGAAGCATATGCCATACATAGGTGCAAGAGGTTCATTGTGTAATAAGCTTAATAGTAAACATGATCCGGACTCCGGAGAGTTAAACTAGAAATTATGTGATTCACATCTTAATTTAGATTGGATTTTAAGTTGGATAAAAAAAAAAGTTAACTCGATAAAGTTTTTAGTAATTTTTTTAAACTTGACTAAGTTAAATCTAAAATATAATATTTTAAAAAATAATTAAAGGATGTTAATTGATTCATTTTGCCATGATGAGTCAAGTATTGATATAGTGTGAATTAGTGAGTTTGACCCTTTTTCATATTAGTCCTCTCGAGCTGACTAGATGTATTTAATATGAATTTGATTTACGCAGATCAACTTCATTTACTAAGGAAGGAATTGCAGATCCATTTCTTTAAGTGCCGTTTGGTAATGCAACTGCGTAGGTTAAAGGAAGCCACAGTTTTTATATGTTTGGTTATGCTGCAATCGGCTTTTATAATAATGGAGCCCATTAATAATCGTGGCTGCACCCATGGTTGAATAAAAGTTGAAAAATTGAGCTTTTCCTGCTGCTTAAGATGATGTGGGAGTATTGGAAGGCAAACAATCATAAATTGAATTAATTATTTTCACTCTCCTGTAGCATCATCATGTATAAATTAATTATCATTACTATTATACAAATACTATAACAATGGTATAATTGAATTTCTTAGTGTGTGTATATATATATATATTACTTTGTACTTATCTTATTTATCACTATTTTTTTTACCTCGTTCTTATGTAATTTTAGAAGTTGTGGAAAACTAAAAAATTGATAAGAAATTTATAATTATACATGCTCATCACTGTATAATATGATAAAATATTTTTTTAAAATATAAAAACAAAGGTGAAAAATTATATAAAATATAATTGTTTATCCATACAAAACACAAGTTGACAATTGTAGTGGCATCAATAACACTACACGATTACATTAAAAGAAACTTGCATGATAATGTAGTATTTGTATAATTTCATCATAATTTTATTTTTATTTTTGATAATATTTTATCTAATATTGTTACACGCTCAGGAGGCCATGGTACCTCGAGGCTTAGTCGGATGGATTTCATATATAATGAAATTGCAGATAGTGTAATAGAACAATAAAAAATATTTTGTATTAAGTATTGTTTATTTTTATGATGTGTAATAGTTAAATCTATAATATTTAAATTAAAAATCATTAATACTAGTATATGTTTTTTTAGTTATTTTGTAACCTCAATTTAAAAAATATTTTTAACCAAACACATTGAACTATTTTTTTTTAACCTTAATTTCAACTACAATTTTAATCAAATATATATTTTATCAAACTAACCTCAACTAAAAGTATTTATAAAATAATTTTTTTCAAATTACAATCATAAAAACTATCACAATACCAAACACAAGACCTATCCCACTTCGTCGATTTTTTCTTTTTAAAATAGCACATTTAAAAAATAATAATAAACTAATACTATTACTGAATTTTTTTTTTTTGAAAAATAACATAGCTTAAAAGACCTCAATTCTCACGTGATGGTTTTCTTATATATATAAAAAAACCCATATAAAAACCGTAGGTTAGAATAGCCCTTTATAAAAACTGTAGGCGGGAATTGCAAATTTTTTTAATAAAAAAATAGTATAGTCAATTTTTTAGTATAAAGATGTCAATGTAGTCTTTGGTACGTTGTTATTGTGATTGTGGTTTAAAAAAATTATTTTTAGTTGAGGTTGGGTTGGAAAAATATAAGTTTAATTAAAACTGTGGTTGAAATTAATATTGAACAAAAAATAATTTAATGTGTTTGGTTAAAAAAATACTTTTCAAATTGATGTTGAACAATAATTAAAAAATATATATATTAATATTAATGAATTTTAAGTAAACATTGTAGATTTAACTACTGTTATTATATTATGAAATAAATAATATTGATATTAAATATTTTTTATTATTCCATTAAACTATATGTAATGTCATCACATACAAAATCTATCCAACAAGGACTATATTTTCCATGGTTTTTTTAAACACATAGCAACAAAATTGAATATTTTGTTACGTCATCAAGCGATCTTCTTCTAAGTTTTTGAATAAAACACAATTAAAAAAATAAAAACTGAATGTTTTTTAATTGGGTTGGACCCAACAAGAACATAATTAGAATTGCGATCAAATTTTATAAATACTACGTTATCATGCGATATCTTTCTAATTTATATAGTGCTATTAAATAATATTAAATACTAGCTTTTCGAGTAATACTTATTTTTTTTAAAAAAACTACAATTTCATTATCTACACAATTCATTCGACAAGACCTACGATTTTTATGATTTTTTGAGCTTATAATAAAATTAAATAAAATATTTTCAGGAATAAAATTGAGATTAGTAAATTTAATTCATCTTAAACTAATTTAAAAACATAAAAAATTTTATTATTTATATTCACGTGATCAGATTAAGTGAAATGAAATCAATTAACGGCACTGATTTTTTTAAAAAAAATACTAAACTTTTCACTTGAAAAATATAGGTAAATTAATTTATTTGTATTGATTTTTAAAAATAAAAATTAATTTAAGTTTAGTAAACAATACAACAGCACTGAACAGTGAAGCCATGCTTTATTATTGTGTCTCATTCCCCATAAAATACTGCGCCTCTAAAACCTGTGGTAATATAATGGATTCTACCAGCTAGAAGCAGAAGCAGTTTTTTCTACCTTACCAAACGTTCTTAGTGTGGCTGTGGGGGAGGCGTTACCAAACGGCCACGTTCATCTGTGGCTTGTTTAAATACCGCAGTTCCCAACCGTGGTTTTTTTAAATATTGCATTTTTCAACCGTGCTTTTTCACTGGCTGTTCGTAGTCTCTTTTTCTACAAATAAAATTGAACACCCGTGCTAGAGCTAGTTACGCTCTGGTCAAGAGTGGAGTCCCGAGAGAGGGAGTCGAAGAGGATTCTGTAATGACATATTAGTCTATGGAAAAGTGATCCGGGATTGCTAGTGGGAAAATTTGAAGGCATGGAGGGACATGACTACTCTATTCAAAACTTCAACAAGGAATGAGTTTCGAGGGTAAATCAGGTTCAAGGATTATTTCAGATTTTTGAAAAATTAAATGAAATTATATCCAAGTAATTACTAAAGATGAAGTTTGTAAATGCATGAGTATTATATCTTCTCCTTCCTTTTTATATAATATAATTAAAAAGAGCAAAACTAGCTAATGAGTTATATTTAAAAAAAAAAAAAAAGTTCTGAGAATTTTTCAAAAGAAATCAAACTCCATTTCACTTGAATTTTGACAAAGTGGTTCCATGTTGACGAAGAGACCCACGTCCAACCCCCTGGTTGCAGCCTTTTCTTCTATTTTCCATCCCATTGTTTCTGCTGTTATGTTAGGAAAAACAAGCGCTGGCATCAATTGTAATAACTAAAGCTCTCATTTTCATCTATTTTGTAGAACTACAGCTTGTAACTTGCTAGCCCAGAAACCATTTATCTTCCATGCAAGCAGCAGAATACTTGGAAGCTCATAGTGCGGCGACGCTATGATAAATGAAACGAACTTCATTGAAGAGTATGCAATCCATAATTGTTCCCCTTGTCAACCCTTAATGCCATTTTAGATTTTCACACTAATCAAAGGAAGAAGATCAGTACAATTTTGAGGTGCTTAAAGCTGGAAACCGCCATGTTCTCAAGGATTGTGCCGCCAGTTTGGCCTTCTGGCGAGGTCAAATCATCGGATTTCAATGTGACATTACACAGGCACCATGCAGCACGACCTAGCTCTCCCTGGTTTGGGAATTTACAAATGGTTACGTAGGTTGATTAAGCTGATCCACAGCTACAAGCTCATCTCCTCAGGGAGGTTGATTTCAAGAAAATATAGGCTGCAGACCAGTATCGATACATGTGAGAAAGATGATTCGGATTTTGTGACAAATAATAATAATAATTA